AGACATGGATGCTGGGCTTAATACCAGGTGATGGGCTGATCTGTGCAGCAAGCCACCATGGCACACATTTACCTCTGTTATAAACCTGCACATCCTGCACCTGTACACTGGAACATAAAAGTTCAAGAAAAAAGAGAAAAGAAAATCAATTTACCATAAATGTGCAGGTTTTGTTTTGGACTCTAAATTCCAAACATTGATCTGTCTATTCTTATGCCAGGACCAAATCAAATTATATGAGAACTCTTTTCAGTCACGGTGCACATGACCACTTGTATATTGTCGTAATAAAAGTTCAATGTAGAGAAGAAGAAAAAGAAATTGGCCCATTCATCCTTGAATACAAAGACAGTAGCAGAATTATTACAGTCAGTCTCTTGATTTGAAATCACTCATTCCCCTATCTAACAAGGAGGGAATATTGTCTTGAGAAGGCAACCTGGTTGAGTGAACAAGACAGTGCACAGGGACTAGGGACACCTGAGTCCTTCTCTTGGACAGGAAATGTTCTTTCCCTTCCTTAGTTTCTAATGTTCTCATCTCAATGTCTAAACTCAATTTAGATTATTGGAATATTCAAAACCAAGATTTCCAAGGTTTGCGTGATAAGAAGACCTTCTAAACAGAAGATCACTTTCAACACAATAGACCCCTCTGCTGTCACAAAAGCAGCAGGCCCCTTCTTCCCCCAAGTGACTCCTTCTGATAGTAAATGAGCAACTAAGATTGTCCCTATACTATGCTTATTACCCCAGTGACAAAATAATCTGCACCCCAAACCCAGTGACACACAATTTACCTGTATAACAAACCTGCACATGCACCCCTGAACCTAAAATAAAAGTTTACAAAAAGATGATCCCTAGTGTTGTGCATGCAGTGAAGCTCTTTACCTCATCTGTGGGAGGCTAAATAATCCTCAGCATGTGCTCTGATACAAACTGAGACTGGTGAATGGTAACATCACAGAATAGCAGTGGGATGAGGATTATGGTGGTGAGAATGATGACGGCGTCATTTTAAACTAAACGCTTCCTGTTAATGGAAGTGAAACCAAGTACCTAATGCAAAAAAAACAAGTATGCTCACTTTATAATCCCAATGGAGAAACTAGATATTCAAGCTGGTAGGTATTTTTCTGTGAAACTTCTTACTGAAGAACAGTGCCCTCCTTGGTTATCCAGTGCTTATCATGTGCTATTGCTTGTTTAACTGGTGTCTTTTCCTATTGGGTTGCAAACTTGGGGAGGGCAGGGAGGATCATGTCTATTTTTCTCACCTTTGTGTCCTCAGTGCCTTACAGGTAACATGCTCCATGAACATTGCTGAATAAGTAAATGAATGTGCTTTACAGTAGTGGTTTGAATAGTGTCTCTCCCAACTTTGGGTGGGTGTGGAATCTTGGAATGTGACTTCATTTGGAAATAGGGTCTTTGCAGATACAATTAGTTAACATGAGATCAACTGGATTAGGATAGGCCTTAAATCTAATATGACCAGTGTTCTTAAAGAAAAGGAGAAGACACACAAGATACACATTTGAAGAAAGCCATGCGAATATAGAGGCAGAGCTTGGAGCAATACAGCTGTAAGCCAAAGAACACTGAGGACTGCTGGGAGCCACCAGGAGCTAGAAAGAAGCAAGGAAGGACTCTTCTTCTAGAGCCTTCAGAGGAGCATAATTTCACGCACGTTTCTATTTTCCAATACTGTGAGAGACTAAATTTCTGTTGCTACTATTTACCCAGTTTGTAGTAATTTGTTCCAATAGCCCTAAGAAACTACTTCATGGCTGAATAGGTTTTTTTCACTTTCAACACAACAGACCCCTCTGCTGTCACAAAAGCAGCAGGCCCCTTCTTCCCCAAGTGGCTCCTTCTGATAGTAAATGAGCAACTAAGATTGTCCCTATACTATGCTTATTACCCAAGTGACAAAATTTGTATAGAGTGTGAAAATTACACTATCACTTAAGTAATTCTTTGAATCAGTCTGATGGAGCTAGAAAGGCCCTGGGAAATCATATAGTCTAATCTCATTATCATTAAAAAAAAAAAACGCAGAAGAAAGTAAGACTCAGAATAAGTTACTGAATTAGAACTAGAATTCAGGTCCTCTTCCTCCTGTACAAATATGTCATACATGCAATGCTTCGACTGTTTTATAAAAGTAATCCATAAGGTATTATGTGATTGCTAAAGCTTTGCTGATTATGTTGTCTACATTTGTGCAAGTAGATTTAAACCCTTTTTTTAAAAAAGTCTTTCTTCCCTCTGTGATGACATAAATCCTTCCTCCAATTTTTCTTCAAAAAATACTAATGCCAGAAAAGAAAATAAATTTTAAAAACAGCCAGCCAATATTCTGAAAGCTCAGACTTATGGCCTCGTGTTCAGATATAATAGAAGAAGATAGGACTGGAATTTAGACTGAGTCTTAATTTCTAATCCTGACCTTTCTGTGCAAACCTAGTCAAGTCTCTATGCCTCAAATTTCCTCCGTGTAAAACTACAATCTTTCTCCAAGGTCTTAGTGAAGAAATGAGGTCAGAAGAAGGAAAAAGCTCTGCAAAGATGAGAAGCTGTTACTGCAAGTAATACATTGAGTAATACCATTCAACCTCCCTGCTACCCATCCATCCATGCAAACAGACACAGACAACTCAAAAAAGATCTGAGTTCAGGCGTTATTGTACCATATACAGAGCCAGATGAATACCCATGGGGGTCTTAGAAGCTAAAAACTGCAATCACCCAACACACAAGTAATTCAAAATACGTTTTACATTACTAAACTGTAAAATACATGTTTTACAACTTATTTTATAACTCATTAAGATCTTTATGTTTTCCCTTGATGCATGTTTTGATGGTTCTTTATAATTTTTATAATACTGTCATTCCTATCCTGATCTTTGATACTGTTTCACTGGCTTTCTAGGATGAAGCTCTGGCTGCCTGCAGAGGAGCCCAGCCTGAGAGTACACCACTTAAACTCACTGGAGCCCTCACTTCCCTACCTGTACAATATCATAATTTGAGAATGAGGGCTCTCTAACCACAAGCTCTTATTAAATTAGTACAAGAAGAATTAAAGTTCACACCTGTTTATCCATCTTTCTGTCAAGGAGCATATGTTCTTAAATAGCATTTGCATGCTACCAAGCTAAGCAAACAAAAATTAATAACCCACCTAAGTTGCATTTCAGAATGAAAAGTCTACTGAAAAAAAATTGATTATGCCAGTAATAATCCTCAATGCTTCCAAAATTGTGAGCCAGATCATATGTCTCTTGTAAATCTAATTTCCTGCCTTATTTGGTAGCCAAGTCATTGGAGAATTGGATGAAATATATCAAAATAAGAAGAAATGGAACCAGCCTAAGCCATGTGATCTAAGTGTATCATTTTAGGTCTTTGAACCACGTGTAAACAGACACTGAACCTAATAACACTTCATAGCCTCATAAATTCTCCCCTTCCTTCTTCCTTTGTTCTAGAATGCGTCCATGAGCTCTTAATTGGAAATCTATGTTTAAAAATAATAGGACTCAGCTGGGCGCGGTGGCTCAAGCCTGTAATCCCAGCACTTTGGGAGGCTGAGGCGGGTGGATCATGAGGTCAAGAGATCGAGACCATCCTGGTCAACATGGTGAAACCCCATCTCTACTAAAAATACAAAAAATTAGCTGGGCACGGTGGCGCGTGCCTGTAATTCCAGCTACTCAGGAGGCTGAGGCGGGAGAATTGCCTGAACCCAGGAGGTGGAGGTTGCGATGAGCCGAGATCACGCCATTGAACTCCAGCCTGGGTAACAAGAGCAAAACTCCGTCTCAAAAAAAATAAAATAAAATAATAGTACTCTTCCAAGGTGGATTTCTTTAATCCTAAAAATTGCAGTAGGGAAATCAAAAAATTTATGAAGTTATGGTTATCTGTAATTGCTTTCTGAGATTTGAGTTACAATGTATGTGTAGGCATGTGCACACATACTACGAGGTCAACATTTTAGTAGCAATATGTTAATGGAAGCATGTTCATGAATGATGATAATAATCTTAGCTTTTACAAAGCTGTGTATCAATTGACCCTTACCACAGCCATTTCCAGTCCTGGAAATGAGTAAACTGATGCCCAGGGAATTTCAAGGAATTTACTTGGGGTCAAGAGGTAAAAGCCTAGACGGATAAAGTCTGGTTCCTGTCCCATTGCACTCCCTTTGTACTCCAACGGCTGCTCCAAAATGAGACAATGTTTTATAGTTTTGTGTAAGCAAATATTGTAATTCCATTGTTTGAAAAGATTGGTTATCAAACTATGGGTGACTACAAATGAAATATGCAAAGCATAGGATGCTGGAAAATTTGCTTTCAATTCAACTCTACCATGTATTTCATTAGTGACTATGGAGGCATAAAACTTTCTACTTATAACTCAGCTGGGTTAGTTTTTCCTCTTTAAATAGTAATAACAACACGTTGTGTGTAGCTCCTCTAACCCAAATGATGCAAAAGGATTAACTTTCATTTTCCATGAATGGAGAAGCCCTGAAGTTGGGGGAAGCTCCCATTTGAGAGGGAAGTAATTTCTATATGTAAATAAATAAAAAAGAATTGGATGGCCAAAGTGGCCAGCTCCTAGATAAGGCTGGTCCCAAGCAGCTGAGGTCAGAGAAGAGGAACAGAGAGATTGTACCCCTAGATCTACACCTAGAGCCTTTCTGCTTGTTTCCCAACTCTCCACTGTGTGTGTATATTTGCATCTGTATGTACATACATGTGCAATATTTGCCAGTATCACCCCCATCCTAATTATTCTGTCCTATTTTGAGTACCTGCATCAAAACATATATCTAAATACTTCATTTAGAAAATACCATCACTGTACAAATAGTGAATAATATTAGCTGCCCCTGATATTGTTCATTCTCTTATATGTGGATAAGCACTTGACTGCCTGAGAACAGTTTTCTAATATTTTTTTCTAATCTTAATTTTTCAGGAAAAGAAGATTCTCTGTCTTCAAACACAAGAGAATGGTTACTTTTACAGTGGTGCCCTCTAGTGCCAATCGGATTAGACTCACTTTCTATGTTTGCCAAAATACAGACCACACAAGAGAAGCAAAATTTGGAGAGTTTACAATGTTGGTAATTTTTCCTGCATTTTCTTTAGCGTAGGAGAGAATGAAGCATGTTTCTTTACCATGATTCACAAGACCCTTTGTGAAATGCCCTCCACCCCCACCCCCAGCTTTTCAGCTTCATCTCCACCACTTTCCCGCCAGAACACTTAACTTCAGTTATTCGGAACAACTTGCATTCCTGCTTAGTAAGCCATCCGCCCCTACCCACCCATTCCCATCCTCCTGTCCGCTTAAATAATTTATCCTCCTTATTCTAGTATCAGCTGAAGCATTATCTCTTCACCTAGGTTTTCCTGACTCCCCAGAAGATTGAGGCAGCCCCTCCCTCCTCCCTCCTCTGCTCCTCCCCTTGTCCCTCTAGCATGTCACTCTTTTGTCCCCACCCGGCATCTTGACTGTGAGTGAAAATAGTTCAAAAACCTTCTCCAATGGATGTTTATATCTCCCATGCCTCAAACAGTGCCTCGCACAAGTAACCACTCAATGTAAAAAAATCTGTGTAAGGATGGCTTGATTGATAATAGGAAGAACTGGGCCCGGCGCGGTGGCTCAAGCCTGTAATCCCAGCACTTTGGGAGGCCGAGGCGGGTGGATCACGAGGTCAAGAGATCGAGACCATCCTGGTCAACATGGTGAAACCCCGTCTCTACTAAAAATACAAAAAAATTAGCTGGGCATGGTGGCGCGTGCCTGTAATCCCTGCTACTCAGGAGGCTGAGGCAGGAGAATTGCATGAACCCAGGAGGCGGAGGTTGCGGTGAGCAGAGATCATGCCATTGCACCCCAGCCTGGGTAACAAGAGCGAAACTCTGTCTCAAAAAAAAAAAGATAATAGGAAGAACTGTAGTGTAGGAATCAGGAGTTTCTGGTGAATTAACCAGCTAAGTGGTCACTAATGGTTCGACTACCCTCTCTGGGTTTCTGTCTTCTTATCTGTAAATAAACTATGTCTAATACCTGCCCCAAATCCAGTGATTCTTAACCCAAAATGCCTTATGACAAGCCAGGTCAACTTCAGATGTTGTTTTAATTCTTTAAAGTTTGCTTATAAAAAGCAAATTCAGGTGTCTTTGAAATTATCTTATTTGCAGGTCTATTATTTAAAAAGTTTTAAAAGCTTGCTAAATTACATGGAGACATTTAAATTAAGCTAATACGAAACAAGATTTTTTTTAGGCAAACTCCTATTTCTCCTATTAAATTATACAAAGAAAGGTCCAACTTGTAGCCCGAAACTTCATTAAGAAACTATGAATTCTAATTCTGGCTCTCACTGATACAGAACTGGTCAACTCACTTTTTAAGTACCTCCACTTCTGCTTTTCCCAGCTGAAAAAGTGTTAAGAATGTAAGCCTTTAACAGTGGGAATTGCTGAAAAAAAGTATCACTAAAAGCCTTTCACATCTTTGAGGTAACAATAAAGGTGATATGAATCTTGGAAGAACCAAGTTTCAATGGTTTCAGTGAGGTTTCTCACACCGTATAGGCCAGCTTTTACTGCCTTTGTTCTGCAGCTGAAGTTCAGGTAAGAGTGGAATCCATCCTAACACCCAGATACATAAGACCTAACAAGACAGAAAATTAATAAGGATAGCAAGGACTCGAACTCAGATCCGGAACAAGTAAACTTAATAAATATTTATAGAGCTCTCCACTTCAAATACACAAAATATACATTCTTGTCAATACCACATCACACCTACCCATAGGTTTATATGAAACATTGATTGGCCATTATTAATACCCAATTTTTTTCAGAATAAAGCAACATTTCCCTTCTCTCTCCCTCTTTCTTCCTCTCCTTCACTCCTTTTTTTCTTTTCTTCTCTCAAAAAAAAAAGAGTGGAATCCTGACAATTTAAGTGGATATCTCAATCTAATATCCAAACAGGCAGAAGCACTGAATTATATACCATGTGTCATGAATATTCTTATAGGGCATTCACTGCTTTTCCTTTTCTAGAGAGAGTGTTTTGCTAATCTGGAATGGGTCATTTAGATATGTACAGAATATATAATTTAAGTATAGAAAAGTACATATGTGCAAATTTGATTCCCCCCAATCCTTTCTCAGGAGCCAAGAAATCCATAAAAAAGCTCAAACACAAAAATCTATTAACTCACATTTTGTATTTCTCAAATCCTGATATCCCTTCTATGAATATATAAACTATATACTCATAGGATATTGAGCTGGAAGACATCTGATTGATCATCTGATCCAACTTTCTCATAATACAGATGATAAAATCAAGGCCCAAAGAGGAAAGTAAATTAGATGAGGAGTGGGTAGGTCTAACGTTTTTTCTGGCATCTTGAAAACAAAATCATCTGCATTTCATGTGTGTAAATAGACCTAACCCAGTGATGAGAAAACAGAGGCTACTAAACAAACTTAATTGAAGGCAAAGTTGACTGCCAAATGGAGCTTAGTAGCTATATCTGTATTTACAGAGTCATTCATGTAGGCAGTTATTTCATAAGGCTAAAAAATTCAATCTAAGAAATAAAGGGGAAAATCTTAATTATTTCCCAAAAGCCTTTCTCTTGCAATAAAAGAGATCCAATTTAATTGGGTTAAATGGTGAATATTCCAGCTCTGTTTCACCTCCAGTCCACATCACTGTAACTTTGTCTTATAAAAGTAGACGTTTGACTTGCCTCACCACTACCAACACCACCACCACCACCCCCCAATCCCTCAGTCAAAATTCCAAACAGTATGGTAGATGAGTTTTAAATGGCTACTAGTCAATGTCTCTTTTTCAAAAGCTGCTGTACAACGTTCTCTCTCAATCACTGTCTTTGTCTCTCTCAAACACACACACAAACATTGCTCCTACCACTGCCACCAACACTATTTGGTAAACCATCAGGTTCTACGGAAAACACATACAACCCATCTGTGCTATCCTTCTCATAATAAAGTGTAAGTAATAAATATACGATTAAATGTAAGGACCCATTGTGCTGTCCCAGATCCTATAACAATATAAGAAATTACATTCGCTAAGTGTAAATTTAAAAAATTTATAATTAACATCAAGTGAAGAATTTCAAATATCTGTGCAAGAAAAAAATCTATATTCAGAGTAGACAGGAGCATATTTCTTAAGCAAACATTTCAAATATACCACCTATGTCTTGCTTCCATCTCTGTTCCAGGACTATAGAAGCTAATTCTCCCCTAGAGATCACTCACCATCAGGTTTAAGATCCTAGAAACAAGCGCCCAGCTTTTCTTCTGTCCCAAAGTTGCTGGATGACTTGTCAGAAAGGACCCCCTGTTTTGCTCAACATCTCCTGGGTATTGATAGTCCAAGGTGACCCCAACCACCAGCAAGCTGTACATCTGTGTTTCGCGTTTTGCTGTCTCCTGCTCAGAGCCCTTGTGCAATCAGTTCGCCCTGAATGGAGCCATGTGTCCTGTGTTTTATCATTCCATGGTGTAAGGAAATATGTAACACTGTGGTTTGAAAAAGCACTCTCAGGGCTCCCAGACTTGGTGAATGCACTCAGCTGTTCTATTTTCGGTTACTCTCTTTGTTTTCTTCTCAAAAGAGCCTAATTCCGGTCAATGTCCTGGGCATCCTGCCATGGACACCTTACTCTTCCCCCACACCCTCTCCCCAAATTGCCTACTTTAATTGCACCCTAAGAGTTCTGCAAGAAGACGTAAACGTGTGCTGTGATGAAGAGAGGATAAGTGTCCTATCGTGCTCACTGGTCTGCAGCCCTGAGCATGACACCGGCTACCCTTCTGGAATTGGGAGACAGGAGCACACTCTGTGCTATGGTAATCACAACCACACACACTCTCACCAGCCTCCGTGCACTGAAAACTCTATTTCCTGTAGGCAGACAAGCCCAGGCATTTGCCAAGACTGCTCATCTCCTTCTAGTTTAATTGGAGGTTCTTAGTCTCAGACAAGACCATCAGAAATCAGAAAGGAGGTTCTTAGTCTCAGACAAGACCATCAGAAATTGTACTGCCTGACCTTTATCGGGGAGAAACCTTTCTAACCCAAAACAACCAGCTGGCGAAACAAGATTATCAGACTAGCCCCAACAAAGGAACGTGAGGATAATATATATTCATTTTTCTCCAGCAGCATCCTCTGCAGTGAAGAACATCCTTGAATAAGAAAAAATAATGTAAAAGCGAAAAGTGTGGAACAAGAATAAAGTGAAGGGAAAATGGGAATATTTTAATTAAGTGGGGAAAATACTAGAAATCATCTCCTACTACATGATGTATTTAATAAGGTGGGAAAAAGATGAAATGATGTCTTTAAGTTGTGACAGGCAGAGATAGATTGTGAGAAGCAATATCTGATTAAATCATTGGAGTGAATGAGTGAACACATAGGCATACACAGGCACACGCACATTGCTGCCCTTAAATTTGATACTTTCCACATTCTTTAAAAACAAACTCACCTTGCAGGTCTGTAGAGTTTATGAATATTATGGGAAAGTAAAACTGGTCTCTTTCTTATTTCCTTTTAATATTAATTGCCTGATCCAACACATTACTATCACAATGGATAGACCAGGTATATCAGTGACTTAAGCGTCAAAGTGACAGTTTATAAAGGGATAATACCAGGATTCTTGCATTGCAAAGAAAAAAAGATCTAGAAGCAGTGACTCTGCCCAACCTCCACTCTGCCCTACCACTGCCACTGCTGAAAAGAAGGAAGGAAAGGAGAGACAGAAGGGCGTTTAACCACACTTTACGATTGCTGTGGGGAGGGGAAAAAAAACTCAACAATTTTAGCATAAGATTATGTCTAAGTGACTGTTTGCACTGTTGAAGCTGCCATCAGCATGAGCTGGTGGGAAAATAGCACCCAGTGGTGCATCTTACCTGAAGAGCAGAGAAGTGCAGGTAGATGTAGGTGAAGCACAGGAGCAGCCCCAACCCCTGAATTACAGAGGCCACCAGCAATAGCTTGTTCCTCTCGAATCTCGGCCTGGCTGCATTTCCCACATTCTCTTCCAGGGGCTGGACCCTTTCCATCTTCACAATCTGAGTAGAGGGAAGATGAAGATATGAAAAAGGGGAACCTGGGATAAAACTGACGTTTTCCCCACAAAGAAGGAGGTAAAGACAAAACAAAGCCTATCGATCAGAAAATAGGCAAAGGTCCCAGGACCAGAGATAAAAGGCGATTGAAAGAGCAAAGCGGACTCTCTCAGTTTTAACGCTGCAACTTTTGCAGGCAGGCGGGGGAACTTCTTTGTGACTAATCTGAATTTCCCCTTTACTTTCTTTCTTTTTTTTTCCTCTGGGCTAACAGGGAGTTGTTTTTGTGGCATTCCAGTTCTGATTTGAGTGACTGTGAAATGACAGTCATAAAAGTATGCTATTTTCTTAAGTTATTGCACCAGTAACAAATTGTGGGTCACTTGGTAAAGATAAAAATCATCATCCGTTGATGTAGGAGCTCATATATCCCTTACCCAAGGTGTCTTAAATCGTAGAATAGATTTAGGGGAAATGATGGCCCAAGATTCTTATCTGCACTTTACTATGTAACTAAACATTGAACCCCTCTTACAGATTCAGAAAGAAAGCACACACAGATCACTCTTAAATGAAAAAGACAAAACAAGAAAATAGGACAGTGGGTCATGTAGAAGTAAAGGAGTGAGATCCTCTGGTTGTAGTCCAAAACAAGCTACCATTGTTAAAGCATTTACTATGTGTCGGGCACTGCATTAGATGGCCTTGCAATACTTTTCTCATTTAATCCTTTGAGGTAAATTCAATAGACAATTATATGATTGATTTTCTGCACACCAGAAAAGCAGCAGAAGGGTATCCTTTTTCCCTTCCTTCCAGTTTACATCTTTCCCATACATAATTTTCCCACGAATGAACAAATGAATAGATGTAAATAAACTTTGAAGATTGTTTCTTTTGGGAGGCCAAGGTGGCGGATCATGAGGTCAGGAGTTAGCGCCTGGCCAACGTGGTGAAACTCAATCTCTACTAAAAAAATACAAAAATTTAGCCGGGCATGGTGGTGCATGCCTGTAATCCAAGCCACTCGGAAGGCTGAGGCAGGAGAATCGCTTGAACTCAGGAGGCAGAGGTTACAGTGAGCCAAGATTTCTCCATTGCACTCCAGCCTGGGTGACAGAGCAAGACTCTGTCTCGAGAAAAAAAGAAAAGTTTCTTTCTTTGAGGTCGTGGCTGGCCTAGAACTTGGAAAGTAAGAGTTATCAATAGACACCAGGTACTCTTTACCACTAAAATAAACAATAAAATGAAATAAATGATAAAATTTACTTATAATATCAAGTTCAAATTGGCAAATACTTACTGAGCACATTATAAGAGTCTGGAACTGTACTAGACAACATAGGGATGCTGGGGAAGGGCTGTTTAAGACAGAATTGTCTCTCTTCTGTGGCCAAGTATGTCTCTCTGAGCTCCCCATAAGGTGCTCAACAGTTATGTAAAGAAAGGAGGGAGAAATATTTTGGATATTGACAGTATGAACTGTTATACGCCACTTCGTTTCACAGAAAAAAAAAAGGAAATGAGGCGTATTTACAAGAAAAAGTTTGTGGGAAATGTGAAGTACATTTATCACTACGATATTAATTGATTAAAATATGAATTAATACCTTCACTACAATATTTATGCATATTAATTGATTAAAATATGAATTAATACCTTCACTACAATATTGTATTTGGAGAATATATTGGTCTTCAGAAATTCAAGTTTCATCTAAAAGACAAGGCAACTAAGACACAATATCACAGACTCCAAGCCAAAACTGGCGATCAAGCTCTATCCAAACGTATTTGTCATGGTGCTGTGACCAAAGCATGTTACATATGGGGTGTGAAGAAAAAAGTTGGAGGAAAAAAATCAGTGCGTAAAGCCCAGTTCTTGTGTAATAGCTCATTATAATTGAGCATTAAAATCAGTAACTGTTTACTCATCAATTTTTAAAAGATGACTAGGAGTCACAGCAAAAAAAAAAAAAAAAGCCATAAATACTATTGGAAACTAGAAGTAGACTGAAAAAGAAATAGTAAAAACTATTCATGCTGAAAATCATAGATATTTTCAAATTACTGTCAAAAGAATGAAAAAATATAAACATTTACTGTGCACCTACTTGTTGTGCCTTAAGCAGCATTTCTTCTCACTGTTAATATCATGGCTCCAAGCAAGAAAAATCTTTGCACAGAGTCGTCTACACCCACATTTAGGCCTACACTTTGATGACACACCTCTCATCCTCCTTGTCTTGTCCTCCTACTACCATATTTTGCCTAGTTGTAATTTTTGTTGATGTTTAAATGATTTTTATACTTGTTTCTTTTTTTAATTAAACATGTTTTCACAGCTTCTTCACATTCTTTGTGGGAAGAGAACACACACACACACACACACACACACACACACACATTGGGCTGGAAGTTCCAGGCACAACCTTTTGATAAGACTGTCTAGGCATTCCAAAGTTCATCATTGGGCCGGTCTAGCATATGAACCAATGAAACCACTATTAGAGTTATCACTGCCGGCCTTTCAGTCTCAGGCAGTTGGGCAGAGTCTTCCATCTTCAAAACCTTTTCCAAAAAACAAAGTTTAAATGTTTTTAAAGGGGTCAAATGTGTTACTGAATCTATTGGAAATTTTTTTGCATTTGTATTTATTTATTTATTTTAGAGACAGGGTCTCGTTCTGTTGCACTGGAGTACAGTAGGGCAATCGTAGCTCACTGTAATCCAGAACTCCTGGGCTTGAGAGATCCTCCTGCCTCAGCCTCCCAAGTAGCTAGGACTATAGATATGCACCACCAGGTCTGGCTAATTTTTTTTTTTTTCATTTCTTGTAGAGACAGGGTCTCGCTATGTTGCCCAGGCTGGTCACAAACTCCTAGCCTTGAGCAATCCTCCTGCCTTGGCCTCCCAAAGCGCTGGGTTTATAGGCATGAGCCATCAGGGCCGGTGGCAATTTTTCTTAAAGTATCTCACAAATATTAAACACATAAACACACCATAACAAACCAGCCTTAAAGCCACAGGATGGCTTTATTTAATCATCATTAACCTCCTAAATGAATAGCCATTTCAAGACTACAGAAAATATGGAAAAGAAAAGGGCTTTGACCACTCACAAGTTACCTCATGTTCAGAAAGAAGCAAAAACATTTGGGGTTTTTTTGGTTTGAGGTTTTTGTTGTTGTTTGGATTTTTTGGTGTCTGGGTTTTGGTTTTGGGGTTTTTTTGGTGCTAAAAATCTACGTTTTTCCTTTGTCTCTAAGTCAGATTTTCATTTGTCCATTCAACAAGACTGACTCAAATACTAGAGGAAAAGACATGAACAAAACACAGACGGGAAAGCAGAATGTTTACAGCCTGGAAAGTGCTGGGTCCTAAGTGTCAGTTCAGGAGAAAAGGGTGTAGGGGACAGGTGCTAATGTACACTGCAATCAGGACAGGAACAGCTTCCTTGAGATGAATCAAGTCAATCTGGGAGAAACGAGAAGAAGTCTGGCCATCTGGAACACTGGAGAGGGGCAGTGGCTTTTGGGCCAGGAGTGAGGGCAGTGGAGCCCATTTGTGCAGTGTCAGTTCAGGGAACTGCAGCTGAAGAGGAGCATGGTGAAGAGGCGGCTGGAGAAGAGGCTGAGAAGAAGCTGTCGTAAATGGACTTTTGTTACAAGTTAAGGACTTTGGACTTCATGCTGCAGCCACCAGGGAACATGGAGAGGTCTGGAGCCAGCTGTGATATGATTACATTTTAAAATTTAAAAAAAAAAATGACTCTGGCTGAGGGAAATAGAAATGGCAGGTACTTCAGGAAAGAATTCTAGAGGGGGAAAAAGAGAAATGGCAGGGTGGGATCAAGTTGGTCAACTGTGGGACATTTCCAGGGTGCTCTGTGCCACCTGAGGGAATGAATGAGATCTAAAATCCCACCTCTGCAGTCAGCTCTCTAAGCCCTTCATCGTGGCACAGGAGGAAGGGACATATTTATCATCCCACAAAGGTGTACTTTGCTTCCCAAGCCCTGAACAAAGGGCTGTACCCATTTAAATGCAGGCTCTCTTTTTAATTTATACACCCATAGGGGGTGCTTTGTTCTAAAACACACAAAGACAGTGGTATAAGCTAGAAACCTTGAGTTTGCAATGATTCAAGTGTGAAATAAGGTCCTAAACTAAGGCAGGGAGGATACAAGAGGAGAAGACATTTACAGTGGCTCTTCATTCACCAGACATTGTGAGAGCATATTCACTGCCAATCTCTGAGCATACACAGGGAGTCATAGATAAGCTCTCTGAGCATACACAGAGAGTCACAGATAAGCTCTGCCCTAGGACAAGTGATGTGAGAGGTGATGGAAAAAATGCATTTTCAAATGTCAAAATCTGATGTGCAATCTGCCTTCTCAACCTACTCTTGATCCTAGTATCACTGTCCTGATTAATGCTTTTGTATTCCAGCACCTCAGAATCCAAGAATCAACTTTGAATGCTTTCTGTTCCCCGTCATCAAACTTTGTAGGCTAGCCCTGCAGTGTAGCTTATACTTTCCTCCTCTTTGCCATTCTTCCTGCTTTAATCCAAATTATTACTCTTTCCTCGAGCTCCTGGCACAGGAGGTTTCTTCCTGCAGGAGCTCCAAGTTTTCCTTCCAAACTTATCTCCCTCTATTTTCTGGTCATTTCTAATATTCACTCTGCCTCAAACACCCTTACCCTCCACCTCTGACTATCAAAACCCTCTGCATTACACACTTCCCCATGGAGGGCTGCCCTGTGAGGTAGTCAGCTTGCCATGTTCTACAAGTGCTAAACAAAAATCTTGAAGAGATTCTGTTCAGAGAATTTAGCACTGAGTAGAGGGTTTGTAGGATCTGTGGTTCCCAAAGCCTAGTTGATCATCTGAATCACTTAGGAGAGCTTTTGAATGATTCTGATTCCTAATTCCTTCACTCTAGAAATTCTGAGGCCATGGGTGGCTTAGTCTATTTTGTGTTGCTAGAAAGGAATA